AAGACGTATAATGGCTCAATAAGACGTATAATGGCTCAATAAGACGTGTAATGATTCAATAAAACGTATAATGGCTCAATAAGACGTATAATGGCTCAATACGACGTATAATGGTTCAATAAGATGTTTAATGATTCAGTAAGACGCATTATGGTTCAATAAGATGTATAATGGCTCAATAAGACATATAATGCTTCAGTAAGACGTATAATGGCTCAATAAGACGTATAATGGTTCAATATGACGTATAATGGCTTAATAAGACGTATAATGGATCAATAAGACGTATAGCTTCAATATATATCAGTCCATGACGGCATTCGCTACAATTAGCCACGACTCGTCGTGACGTTACGTTGTGACCTAAATGCTCGTGGCCTTCAATGCTTCATAGTTATCGCCTGGTCTTGCCTGTTATCGCCTGGTCTTGCCTGTTATCGCCAGATCCGGCTCTGTTATCGCCTGATTGTGCAGGTCTTGCCGGGAAGTATAGCGTTCTGTTGACACTTTTCAAGTCCTTATTAACATGCAAGGAAGGTGACGTTATTTTGATCAATGACTGTTGAGATAAGTGAGTCATACGATGTGCGGAAGCTTTGATCATATTATTGTGTTCGGAGAAATATAAAGGCTCAAGATTTTGTTGCAGGTGCGATATATTTTACGATTGTAAATTTACGATACCGAACATCAAGGGGCCTGCAGACGTTACAGCCTCTAATCGTAAGTAGGTGAATCATTTAAATTTTCGCATATATAGTGCATAGTGCTATGGAAATACGGGAAAATTAGGAGGCTTTCTAATTACGGTGGTTTCATGCATTGACACATTGATCTATAAGTATAAATGTCGTAAAAAATAAAGAAGGGACAATACGGCAATTGTTTGTTCGTATTGAATTGAAGATTTATTGTTAAAATTAGGGGAAAAACTTGATTTTCATGAATTGAGAGCTGCGTGGTGGTGGTGGTATGGTGCTGCGTGGTGATGGTATGGTGCTGCGTGGTGATGATATGGTGCTGCGTGGTGGTGGTATGGTGCTGCGTGGTGATGATATGGTGCTGCGTGGTGGTGGTATGGTGCTGCGTGGTGGTGGTATGGTGCTGCGTGGTGGTGGTATGGTGCTGCGTGGTGGTGATATGGTGCTGCGTGGTGGCGGTATGGTGCTGCGTGGTGGTGGTATGGTGCTGCGTGGTGGTGGTATGGTGCTGCGTGGTGGTGATATGGTGCTGCGTGGTGGTGATATGGTGCCGCGTGGTGATGATATGGTGCTGCGTGGTGGTGGTATGGTGCTGCGTGGTGATGATATGGTGCTGCGTGGTGGTGATATGGTGCCGCGTGGTGATGATATGGTGCTGCGTGGTGGTGGTATGGTGCTGCGTGGTGATGATATGGTGCTGCGTGGTGATGATATGGTGCCGCGTGGTGATGATATGGTGCTGCGTGGTGGTGATATAAAGTTATACCTACTCTCCTTAATCAGATTTTGTTTTAGTTTTAAATTATAATTCATCTGAAGATCTGAATAGCGCGGTGGGCGACCGTCTGGGCAGGAGGCTAACTGGGCTGGAGGCTAACTGGGCTGGAGGCTAACTGGGCTGGAGGCTAACTGGATATGAGGCTAACTGGGCGGGAGGCTAACTGGGCGGGAGGCTAACTGGGCTGGAGGCTAACTGGGCTGGAGGCTAACTAAGCAGTCATCACACTTCACACGATGCCGTGATGCAGTCATCACACTTCAATCGATGCCGTGATGTAGTCATCACACTTCACACGATGCCGTGATGCAGTCATCACACTTCACACGATGCCGTGATGCAGTCATCACACTTCACACGATGCCGTGATGCAGTCATCACACTTCAAACGATACCGTGATGCAGTCATCACATCCATTAAAGAAATCCGTTGTGATGGCGGCAATATTCATCACAAGCACCGCCTTGTGGTGATAACATCACTGCCAGATAACAGGGGCCGCGTGTGTCACGCTGATAGCGCTTATCAGTTGAACTGAGCAGCGCCGCGGTCTTTGAAGATTTCGGTCCGGAAATTGATGCCTCGGAGCACAACATAACGTGAATAAATACTTAGTCGCATACCCATTAAATTAATTACTACTATTTTAAGCATACATCAATACTTTTCATGCATATGTTAATACCCTATGATGAATAAGCACATCTGTGGGATATTTTCTGGTTATCAAATTTCCCACATAGTTCTGATTATTTTAGTTATAAATAAATACTTCTGGTTCTTCTACGTCGTTTGTAACTTGCCTGTTCATGTCTTTCTGTTAGCGGTATTTAGGTTGTCGTATTAAGTTTTTTTATTAATTTATCCTGCATTTATTATTTGCCACAGTAAAATTAACTGAAGCACTGAGATATATCCAAGTTATCATGCATTTCACATTTGCCGCCATACAATTATTATAAGCATTGATATACATATATCAAATCTTAGAACTATTAATTGCCTTCATTCCGACGTATGTGCTCATACGATCACATAATCACCTAAATAATGCTGGCAGGCTGCTTCCTATGGCATGTCTTCATTAATTAGCTTGTCTTTACTCCTCTTGTGAAGGATATTATCTTTGCCTTGCCTATCCAGATAACTTTTTGCCGATCCAGCTAACTTTTGTCTATGCAGCTAACTCTTTGCCTATCCAGCTAACTTTTTGCCTATCCCGCTAACTTTTTGCCTATGCAGCTAGCTCTTTACCTATCCAGCTAACTTTTTGCCTATCCAGCTAGCTCTTTACCTATCCAGCTAACTTTTTGCCTATCCAGCTAACTTTTTGCCTATCCAGCTAACTTTTTGCCCATCCAGCTAACTTTTTGCCTATCCAGCTAACTTTTTACCATCTCTGGGATGTACCAAAAGTACTGAAGCGTTGACTACGTCGTTGGCTATGTCGTTGACTACGTCGTTAACTATGTCGTTGACTACGTCGTTAACTATGTCGTTGACTACGTCGTTGACTACGTCGTTGACTACGTCGTTGACTACGTCGTTGACTATGTCGTTGACTACGTCGTTGACTACGTCGTTGACTATGTCGTTGACACCGTCGTTAACTATGTCGTTGACTATGTCGTTGACTACGTCGTTGACTATGTCGTTGACTACGTCGTTGACTATGTCGTTGACTATGTCGTTAACTATGTCGTTGACAACGTCGTTGACTACGTCGTTGACTATGTCGTTGACACCGTCGTTAACTATGTCGTTGACTATGTCGTTGACTACGTCGTTGACTATGTCGTTGACTACGTCGTTGACTATGTCGTTGACTATGTCGTTAACTATGTCGTTGACAACGTCGTTGACTACGTCGTTGACTATGTCGTTGACACCGTCGTTAACTATGTCGTTGACTATGTCGTTGACTACGTCGTTGACTATGTCGTTGACTACGTCGTTGACTATGTCGTTGACTATGTCGTT